CAACCGGAACAGGACAGTTTAATAATTTAAGTGAGATCTCAGGATTAATGAACAGCGGTTGGAATGACATGGGAGACCATAAATCCTGGCCTGCTGTGGGAGAGTCATGATTTACAACAAGGCTTCCTGTAAAAAACAAGGTCTGACGAGCCTGCAGGCTGATGTCCCCCCTCCAGGGACGTGTGCTTTTACACGTGTGGTGGACGATCTGTCACACTTCCCAGGACCTCGCCCTCCAAATGCGCTACAAGGTGCCCTCAGTGGCCCTGACACACCTGCATGTCAGGGTTTCCCACAAGTCGGAGAGCTGCACTTTATTTGGAATGTTTGAGACTGAACCCAAAGACCTTGTATACGCTAAGGCAAGGCCCTCTATCACTGAGCCACTCTCCCGACTCCCCACTGGGGACTTCAAGGCAAGGGCTCTACCACTGATGCCCTAGGCTCTCACTGGGGGATTCTAGGCAAGTACTCTACCACTGAGCCACACTCCCAGCCCCTCACTGGGGGATTCTGGGCAGGTGCTCTACCACTGAGCCACACTCCCAGCTGCTCACTGGAGGATTCTAGGCAAGTATGTCCCAGTTAACATTCACTACACAGCCTCACTGGAACAGTGACAGCCTGATGATGGCCGGCCGTTCCTTGAAGGCTGGTCAGGAACATCAAGTCACTCAACCATAAGAGGGAAAGTGGGAGTGATGGAAACTCCACTTCCCTAGGCTTGTACAAGAGGAGAAGGTATGTGCTCTGGGTATGGGGGCAGGATGGAGTACACACTGGACTGAAGCACCCTGGATTCCCGACAGGCTGGCGAGAGGCAGGCTCACTCACCTGAATCTGCTTCCTTCTGTTTTGTTTTTGCCCCCTTGTGGTGTGTGCGTGTGTGTGTGTGTGTGTGTGTGTGTGTGTGTGTGTGTGTGTGTGTGTGTGAAGACTGAAGCAGTCACGGCCTAGTACATGCTAGCCAAGTGCTCTACCACTGCGCTACCGGCCCCAGCCCTCCACTTTCCCATTCCCTAAGCCTAAGGGGGAACAGGACCAACGCTGGTGTCCACTCCCAAGGGCATCTTGCAACGACTGCTCACGGGTCAATCTCCCTCCCTTCTGTGTCACGAGGCTGTCCCAGAGCAGCTGCAGTGTGTTGGCTGGGAAAGGTCAGGGCTGGTCATCGTGGGGCCCGGCCAAGGGACTGGTGGTTGGAGTTCATGACGAGAGAGGCTAGAGAATGTTCCAGCCCACATTCTGACAGCATGCAGGAGCGAACTGGTCTGAGTAGGCTCGGCACAAAGTAGGGCTTCCCACTCCCTTGCTGTGTTCCCCTCCTGTCTACAGTGCCCAGGAAACCCCCTTATGAGTGGGCTCGGGAGCAGAGCGCCAACAGCAGACAGGAAGAGGTTAGCAGCTGTCCTAGGGTTCCCGCTCACTCGCCAATAATGTGTGCATCTCTAAGAAGGGAAGCAAATGAATATAATTAATTTTTAACAATCATTGTGGGATCAAAGAGCGTTCTGGAAGGAGCTCAGTGTGCAGGCTTCCCGAGGCTAAGCAGCACACATCTGTTAATACTTTATAGGAACCATGTCACCACAAGAGGCCTCAACACATGCCTGACCCTTTGTTCTCTGTAACGATGTAAAGATTACATGTTCATAAAACTTTATTAATTTGAGGTAGGAAGGCAAGAGGAAAAGAGAGAAGAGGAATTAAGCTTCCAAGGCTGGAGAGTACCAGATACTGTTTTCTTCTTTCAGAAAAATCTCAGAATAGAGACACAGAAACACGTGGATTTGGCCTCCCTGATCTCAGCGCTGTGGACCTGTGCCTATCTGGAGCCATGAGAACCAGCAGCATGTTATGCCGTATAGCAACAGCTTCAAAGATGCTCCTGGATTCAGATCAATCAACACTGGCTCTGGAGTGGCGGATGCCTGAGGAGACAGGCCTGGAGTCTGAGCAAAGCAGGACGAGTTCCTGTGGTCTCTGTGAGCCATGACCACACCTGGAGGCTGCCAGGTGTGTGCATCCGTGTTTGTGTGCGCACGCCTGCATGCATACGCATGTGTACCAGTGTGTATGTCACTACGTGTTGGTGCTGGTATGTGTCTCTCTGTGTGTATGTGCATGCTTATGCATGTATGTGTGTGTCTGTATGAAGTGGCACTGGGGCGTGTCTGTGTGTGGTGTGTGTGCACACGCATCCATATGCACGTGTGCTGACTATGTATGCCTCTGTGTGTCAGTGTGTGCATGCCTATGCATGCATGTGCCTGTATGTGCATGCTCGTGCATATGAATGCATGTGTGTATTGGTGTGTCTACGGGTGTATATACGTCTGTGTATGTTGGTGCTGGTTTGTGTGTCTGTACGTGTGAATGTATATGCATGTGTGTGTGTGTGTGTTGGTGCTAACAGTAGATAACACCTATTTTTTGACCAATGCCCTTCTTTAACCTATTATAAACAACCTTACTTAAAGGATCTGAACTAGTGTTTATGATAAATGAGAAAAGGAACCATCTCTTTTAGATAGATGGGTAAGGATCAAATGTCATGACTGAATAATTTTGAATTTTCACCTAAGAGTTTTTGCTGTTTTATCTAGGAGGTGGCATGCAGCATCAGGGTAGGGGTGTAGATTTCTTACACTTTGGGGTGATACTAAATATAAGGATTTTTGGGGTGATACTAAATATAAGGATTTTCCCGTTGGGCAAATGCTAGCTGGGAGAGGCTTCCTGTCAATCAGCTACTGTGTGTTTAAGGCACTTGTATTAGTTGCCTCTCTCTGCTGAGACCAAGCATCTGACATGAAACCGCTCAGGTGAAGAGAGTTTTATTCCAGCTCATGCAGTTTGAGAAGAACGGTCCATCATGGCCGGGACAGCATGGAGGAGGCCAGAGCATTGGGAGCATGTGGCTGGGACTCATCTAATCTGCAGGGACACAGAAGCAGAGAGTGGACAGAAAGTGGGGCCAGGCTATGCCCTCAGGGGCTAACCCTGACCCACCTCTTCTGGCAAGGCTCTACCTCCTAAAGGGTCCACAACCTCCCCCAAATGGCACCACCAACCGGGGACCAACCGTTCAAACACACCAGCCTGGGGCGGGAGGAGTTCTCATCCAAACGGTACCCTCACAGCAGCACCCGGAACACAGTCAGAGATCTCTTGATGGTGTCATTGTTCATTTTTCCTCTACGTCCTCCCCACTTAGTGAGCTCAATATGAGCGACGCTCAGCAGGTTTCTGCTGGATCAAGTTACATAGCAAGGAACCTCCTATACCCTCTCATTTTCAACCCTGGGTCAAAATCACTCCCATACACCAATACACACATGCATTCATATGCACGAGCATGCACATACAGGCACATGCATGCATAGGCATGCACACACTGACACACAAAGGCATACATAGCACACATGCAGCTTTCAGTTGATGGAGTGGCCTAGCAGTCATCTGCAGACAAACCGACAGCAGAGCAATCCCCTGCCCTTTCCCTGGGGACCTTCTTGCAAGGACCTCAGGTGTCCCGCTCCCTCTGGCTTCATTTCCCTCTCACTATGCTTTTAGTGAAACATGGAAACAGTTCCAAGTCTGGTTTCAGATTCCGGGGATCTAGTTCCACCAGTCAAGGGCTTGCTGCAGAAGCATGAAGGCCTGAGTTGGATTCCCCAGCCTATGTAGAAAGTTGGGCACGGTAATACATGCTTGCAGTCTCAGCCAAGGAGGCTGAGACAGGTGAATCCTGCGGCTCACTGGACAGCCAATCTAGCTGAAGAGTAAGCACGGGGACACTTAGAGGCTCTGTCTCAAAAGCAAACAACAACACACAAGGCAGATGGCTCCCGAGGAACCATGTGAAGGTTAGCTTTATTCCGGATGGCGAGATGGCTCGGTGTGTAAATGGTGCTTGCAACCAAAGTCTGTCAACCTGGTCCCTGGGACCTACATGGTGGAAGGAGAGAGAATTGACTTCCACAATGCACTAAGAGTGAAAAAAATCAAGCTGAGCACAGGCAAGCAAACAGGCAGGCACACATGCATTCGCCTCTCCCTGCTCTTGACCACGGATGGGATGTGAACAGATGCCTCAAGTTCCTGTGACTTCTCTGCAGTGATGGGCTGTCACCTCGAACTGTGAACTCAAATAAACCCTTTCCCCGCAAGAAGCTTTTGTCAGGGTGTTTTATCACAGCAGCAGAAATGAAACTAAGACAAATGATATCTGAGACTACACTATGGTTTTACATGCTTGTGTGCGCATGTGTACACACACACACACACACACACACACACACACACACACACACACACACACACACAGAGTCAGGCTTAAAGTCATCACAAAAAACCAGGAGAAAATGCACAGCTAAATGCTCCTGCTGTGTAAATTTTTAAAGCGCAGACGGCTCACCGCCTCTGTGGAAGTGTCACTTTCTGAAAATATAATGCAGCTATTTTCCATGGCAGAAATGATCCTTTCCCACACACCGGAGCTCTTGATGCGTCAGATGCACTCTGAACAGGTTCACCTGATTCTTTTCTTTCCCAGGACATCATTTATAGAGTGCTTGATTCATAAAGCCTAGCTTTTGCTTTCTTAAAGATGCACAAACCGTCCCATAAATACATCGATTCTCGCACCCTGTGTTTTTTGCCAGACATTCCCCGAAGGTTTATAGATTTCCTTCATTACAAACTAATTGATATTCCCCAAGTGCCAGAGTCTTGGCAATCCTCTCTGTTGAGGGAAAGTGCTCAGGACGTCAGAGATACTAAAGGAGAAGAGAGCCTGTAATCCAGGGCACGTGGTCGAAGTGACTCAGGGATGGAGAGCCTGTAGTAAGCCAGTGCATGTGGTCACAGTGATGTGAGGGATGGAAAGGTGAGCCTGTAAGCTGGTGTGTGTGGTCACAGAGACAGGAGAAATAGATAGGAGGACCTGCAAACCTGTGTGCATCACAGTGACACCCAAGCGACCATTATTGTAGATCTGGGGTTCTTAGAATTATAGAACCAATCCCAGGCGAGACCAGCTCCCTGTCAAACGTCATCTGACTACCCTTAGGACAGGTAAGCAGAGTGTGCTACCCAGAGCATCTGTTGCGCCTCTGTTTCCCCATCTGTGTGACTGGAGTCTTGCTCTGCAGAAGGAGACTCATCCCATGGCCGTCACCTCATCACGTCAACACCCCAGGCGGCTCACCGTTAATCCAAAGAGGATATACCACCGATGCTTATCCACTCCAGGGCTACACTCACAGCTGAGCTCCTCGGAAAAGGTACTGCGCACAAGTAGGGAAGCGGAGGAACAGATGGACAAGTGAACAGGACCACAGGAAGCTCAGCAGTGTGCTCTCCCAAGATGCTCCAGCAGTGCGGCCACTGCGGACGGCCAGGGAGGAGCCACTGTAAGAGGATCAGCCAAGAGCAGGCCCTAGGAGAGATGGAGTCCTATGGACTCTGCTGTTGCAGGTGCACAAGCTGGGGACTATGAGAGCTAGGTGAGGCCTCAGAATAAGTGTATCAGGAAAGCTAGGAAGGCCATTCGCCCCAGGGGAGGGTCACTTGCTCCCTGGGGTCACATACAGCTAATGGGGTTCTCTGACTTGAGGGTAGCAAGGTCAAGCCAGAGGAAGAGGTTGGGATAGGAGGCTGAGAAGAGGGGAGCAGGAGAGAGGGGACAAAGGGTAGTCCACCATACACCAGTCATAAATAACTGCAAGAAACAGTAACAACAGCCAGCGGTGGCTGGCTTGTTTTTACTCTCCCTGGGTGAGACACCGCCCCAAGCATTTTACTGTCCAGTATCTAGGAACTCATTTAAGAGGCAGGGTTCCTAAAAGGAAGTCGGTCTTAACTATTCCTTTTCACACTTGAGGGAAGCACAAGAGGGACCCAGGGGCCTGGGCTAAGGTCATAGACAAAGTGGGGGTCGGGGCGAGATCAGAGGCTAACAACTTCCAGGTCTGCAGCGAAGAGCTGTGTGACCAGGAAGGCCTCCCCCAGCCACCACAGGTTCACAGACCTTCGGGGACGCCCTAGAAGTGGGAGGCCACGAGCTGGAAGGCAGTCTGTCTTGGATTTCATTTGTGGCCACACCTCTCCCACAGACACAAAGTCTCATGCTCGTAGTGTCCTACATAGATAGATGGACCAGGTTCCAGAGTTCTGGCCACAAGGTTCTGGAGAACCTCCTAGAAGAAGAGGAGGAGGAGGGGGAAGAAGAAGAAGAAGAGGAAGAAGAAGGAGGAGGAGGAGGAGGAGAAAAAGCTTGACAAGAAGGGGCTGTGTCTTTTATCTAGAACTTCCACAGGTTCAGTGCCATTTTGTGATGGGGCGCGCGGGGGGGGGGGAGGGGAAGCACTGAATGAGTTAACTGCTTTTTCATTTTTTTTTTTTTGTTTCTTTTAAAAACAACAGCCCCTATTCTGGTTAGTTTTGACTGCCACCTTGACACAACCTGGAGTCTCCTGAGAAAAAGGAACCTCATTTGAAGAACTGCTTGATCAGACTCGTCTGTGTGCCTGTCTGTCTGTAGGGCACTGTCCTCATTGCTAATTGACACAGGAGGGTCTGGCCCACTGTGGGTGGTGTTATCCCTATTCAGGTGGGGCTGGGCTGTGTAAGAAAGCCAGATAAGCAGAAGTGAGGGGTCAAGCCAGTCAGCAGCATACCTCTGTGGTTTCTGCTTCAGGTCCGGCTTCTGGCTTGACTTTCTTCGGTGATGAACTATGACCATAAAAGTAAACGCTTTCCTCCTCCAAGTTGCTTTGGGTCATGGTGTTTATCACAGCAAGGGAAAGCAAATTTGGACAGCCCCCAAATACAAGATATCCCAGTCCTGGAAACAGGTAGACAGGCGAGGGAACAGATCCATGCCTGCTAGTGCTCGGCTAATTTTCTGTTTCTCACAGTTTAACGCGTGTCCAGACCGACCAAAGGGGATGTTTGCTGGGGGTGTTGTGAACATGAGATGAGATCACGGGTAAGGTACAAGGTCTGCGTAGCAGCTGTGGAGCAAATAGGGACTCATATATCACACAGCTGGAGAACTCCTTTGTGGGGAGCACCGCTTGGTGAGCACGGAGCTCAGGGGGAGCGGAGCCAGGGTGGGCAGGGCCCTACCTCGATCACTGAAGTCGTCCACCAACACGATCTCCGCCACCAGCTCTGGGGGCGAGCGGTTGAGCACGCTGTGCACGGTTCGGAGCAGTGAGGACCAGCCCTCGTTGTGGAAAGGGATGATGATGCTGGTGTTGGGGAGTGTCTCCAGGTAGCGCTTGCTGTTGCAGCTGGAGGGAGACACAGAGGAGAGAAGACGGGCGTTATCCAGAGTCGCCATTCGGCTTCCACACTGCGGCAAGAGCGCGGAGGCGGGCATCGGGCTAAACGGGAGTCCCATGTCCTTTCCAGCCATTAGGGGAGGAGAGAGGTGGAGAGAGAGACCTCAGCTGTAGGACTTTATTCTCCTTGGCCCCACGGTGTCCTACTTCCACTCTGGTGGAGTGGGTCCCGTGTAAAAGTCAGGTTTACACACACACACACACACACACACACACACACACACACACACACAGAGAGAGAGAGAGAGAGAGAGATAGAAAATGTCATTTACAAATAGATAATCTTACTTAATATCCAACCTAGAAGCCATTAATTAATTAATTAATTTATTATTTTCTTGTCTGATCGTCTTGCCTAGAGATTGTAAAGCAATGTTGGGTTGAAGTGGTAAGGGCAGACACCTTGTCCTCCTCCTGATCTTCTGGGGTCGGGGACCTTTCATCCCTGAGTAGTGCAGTTTTTTTTATTGGTACCACTGAACAAGGAGTTCTTTAAATTCTTAGTCTATGGAATGTCTTAAACTCCCTGAAGTTTTGGATTTTGTCAAATGCTTTTTTTCTCCCTGCATCTGCGGATATCTGTCTTTTGTTGTATTACTCTGGTCTAGCACATTGATTGGTGGTCCCACATTAAATCAACCTTGCATTTCCGGGGTAGCCTAGCTGGCCACAGTACACAATCCTCATACAATGCTGAGTATTTTGTTCACTGGTTCTTTTGTTGAGGAGTTTTGTATCTAGTCTCATTAGGAATACTGACCTATAGTTTTCTCGTGATATTTTTGGTTTTCTATATTGCATTTAGTTTGCTAAACACGAGGCTATTGGGGCTAGGGTGATGGTTCAGCAGTCAGAAGCATGTGCTGTTCTTTTGGAGGACCTGGGTGTAGTGCCCAGTGCCCACATCAGGTGGCTCGCAATCTCTTGCAGCTCCAGATCCAGAGGGGTTCCAATGCCCTCTTCTGGCCTTTTCAGGCACCAGGCATACATGTAGTGCACATACAAACCTATAGGCACTCACATGTATATCTAAAATGAAATAAACCCTACCTAGGTTCTTAACATTAACATAACCATGTATTTTCTTTCTGCCCTACAACATGCAATCCTATCAGGAAACACAATTCCAGCATTACTGGTAGCAACACTATTACATATTTTTTTTTTCTATAGTGTATATTTCAGTCAAAATTTCTGTTCTGAAGCTGCCCGAGTGATCCGTCTCTGCATCTCTTTCTGTAGCCACACGCGCAGGGAACATCTGGGTTCACTTATTATATTTAGTTATTTACCTGTAGGGCTTGCGCTTTAATTTTTAATTTGGGTCTAGTCATGTTTACATAATTATGTGAAGCATACAGTTCCAAGGCCGACTCTAAAAGGGGTAATTCGAAGATATCTGCCTCTCATTAGTGTCTCCTCATCTTCCAGGAGGCCACGTGATTTCTGTGGCTAATGACTGTACTGTTTCCACGTTTTTTGTATAAACAGCTGTGGGTATAGATTGCTGGCCTTGCAGGGCTTTCTAGGAAACCCGATAGTATACACTTCACACCTTTACTTTTCACTGACTGCTCCACTGTGGAAACCTTGCTACACGATACGCTTCCTTGGGTTCCCCTTGCTACAGTTTCCCAGACTTTCCTTTTGTGTGTGTGTGTATATGTGTGTGTGTGTGTGTGTGTGTGTGTGTGTGTGTGTGTGTGCGCGTGCGCGCGCGCGTACATGCATATGTGCATGCATGCATGCGTGCATGCGTACAAGTGTTGAGACAAGGTCTCTCATTGAACCCAAATCTGTCTGTCTTGTCGAGGATGGCTGTCTGGAGAGTTCCTAGGATCCCCCCCTCCCCATGCTCGGGCTCCAGCTCCCCAATGCTGGGCTTCCCGGCATGCAGCCACACCCATCTTTTTACATGGGTGCTGGAGATTTAGACTCAAGCCTCCCACTTACATTGCATGTGCTCTCATCCACTGAGGTGTCTTCCTGGCCCGTTTTAGGTTTTGAAGAAGTGGGTGAGTCCAATTCGGGCGGGAACAATATCTAAGTCCATCTGCCCAGCCTAAGATTTGTTTTACAGAAGGTAAGCTAGTTTGTTTGCTTTATGATAAACTGTTTTGCTTCAGGAGAGAAGCGGGATGCAAAGAGGGGGCAGAGAAGGCGCCTGTTCTGAATGAGTTGTCCAGCCTGGACCAGCCGCCTCGCTAGGCCTGAGAGCTTGTTAGAAAACCAACTCTCTGGCCCGTCCCAGACCACCAGCACAAGAGCAGCAGTCTCAGGGCGGGGCCCAGCAGTCTGCTTTTTAACAAATCTTCTGTGTGAGTCTGATGCCCACTCAAGTTCAAGGGGTCACTGCGGTAGACACCCAAACTCACAGCACCACTGCAGAAAGGTTTCCTGGGGTCCTGAGGAGAACTGTGTGGATGGTGACTGGGGGTGGGGTGGAGAGGGCATGTGTAAGGGGGTGACACCAGCAGTGCGTTAGGGGAGCAAGAGAGGCGAGGAAGGAGGAGCGAGGAAGAGGTGGGAGAGGAAAAGAAGGGGGATGAAGAGGAGGGAGCAACATCTGCGTGACGGATTGACACCTGTGGGTCACTTTCCTAGCTAAACTCTGACATGACCCCCAGGGCAGACCGGGTGGGCATGCCATCCCTGCTTGAAGGAAAGCCTGAGAACTGAGGGAGGGAGGTGGCCACTTAGAGTCCCACTGAGATGGCAGGCCATGGGTGACGTCGCTGGGCTTGAAGCCCTGAGAGGAAAGGAACACAGTCCTGTCTCAGCACCTGCGTGCTGGTGGACAGCATGTGGGAGCGGGGCACATTCCAGAAATGAGAGAGAAGGGAGCCTGAGGAAAGACAGGGTGAGAAAGCATGCCTGGGAATGCGGGGCACTGCACGAGAGAGTTTTCCTGGTCTCCTTAGATATATCCTGTCCTGTCCATCCCCTCCCACCCCCCCTGTAAACCCTCAGGTTGTGCTCCCAAATGTACCCACTGTGTGGCTGGTGGTTTCTCAAGTCCTCACATCCCAGCATAATGCCATCTCCTAAGAGGTGATGCCCAGGTCCCTCCTTCCCCAGCTTTGGATACAATACCTCAGGGACCCACCCAAACTAGGGCCCGAGGAACAACCTGGCAGATTGTTCTTGTGTTCTTATGTGGTCCTCTCTGAGTTTCATCTGTGGTAATAAAACAACAACAACAACAACAACAACAAAAACCTCGGCAAAAAGCGACTTAGGAGGGAAGAGGGCTTATCTCGGTCACAATTCCAGGTTACAGTCCATCACATCAGGGAACCCACTTCAACAGCTGGTCACAAGGCGCACATAGTCAAGAGCAGTGAGAATTGAATGCACTGCATGCCTAGCGCTCGGCTTGCTCTCTCCAGGCACACGCCAATGTTCAGTCTCCTTCCTAAGCAGGCACCCCAGCCCTTCTCTATCTCAGTTCGGGGATGAGACAGCTTTCTCTGTAACGCACTTGGTCAGAGCTGAAGGTGGTGGTGTGCACCTGTCCTCCCGGCACTAAAGCTGGGTGCGGGGGTGAAGGCTGGGAGTCGGAGGCCAGCCCAGCTATACAGAAACCTAGAGTCAAAACCAAACACCAAAACAAAACAGCAGCAACAAAACCCTCAACAGCCAACAGCAGCCCACAGCCGGCTGGAATCAGTGGAGTGGGAAGAGGTGTGGGACGGAAGGGTCAAAGCTAAGTTCTTTACGAAGCCCTTCCCCATTCACAGCGGCTCTGCTGAGAGCCAGCCACACACACACCTGCTCAAGACACAGCCAGAGGAACGAAGTTTATTGCCACTCAGTCAAAGTTTATTGCCACTTAGTCAGGGGCCTCAGCCAATCAGGCATCTGTAGATTTACATTCTTGACTTGCTTGCCCCAGAGTTCAGATGCAGACAGTCTCAATCAGATCTTGGACTATGCTATTTTTTATTTTATTTTATTTTATTTTTTTCTTTACCTACATGAACCTATGTTCCAGAAACTTCTTTCCTCAAGTCATAAATCACTGTTTCTTTTCTTTTTTGAGACAGGGTATTGCTATCTAGCCCAAAGTTGGTCTAAAACTCATGATGATCCTCCTGCCTCTGCGAATGACTTTGGTTCCTAAGGGGCGTCATGGCAGACGGTTAGGTGACGGCTGCCAGTGGCCAGGACAAACTGGACTTTACCCCAAGGCCTTTGATGATTCATGAAAGGAGGGGAGACAAGCTGGAAAGAGGTACAAGTTCCAGAACATTCTGCCATGGTGTCTCCAGAAGCAGAGAACTGGAAAATACCAGTATGGCACACCTGTCTACAGAGGAAAGGATGTGCAGACTATTCCCGAGGAATACCACACAGCCATGGAAAGTGGCTGACAAGCACGAACATAATACATAAAACCAAAGAGGCTACTTGTACAATAAAATAGTCCAACCACATGGTGCAAAATCAAACAGAACACTGGACTCACACACATCCATATATATGATGAGCAAAGACCAAATGGTTTGTGCTCCCTGCTTGGGCTGAGCTTGGATCTGAGTGTGTGGGGAGCTGGGATGGAAGACTGCTCCCCCCCCCCAAATATGGAGAGGAGAACTTGCCACAAGGAGGGCACTCTCTTCTGTTCCTAAACTAAGCTGCTTAGCTTGTCACCCCGCTTCCCCGGTGCCATCTGAAGGAAGGGAGAGAGGTGGAGCTCTACTTTCATTCTGTTGCCGTGATAAACACCATGACCAAAAGCAACTTAGGGGGAAAAAGAGTTTTATTTTAGTTTACACTTCCAGGTCAAAGTCCATTACTGAGCAAAGTCTGGGCAGGAATTTATGCACCAATCATGGAGGAACACTGCTTTTTGGCTGGCTCACAGGTCCATGCTCAGCTAGCTTTCTGACACAGCCCAGAACCACCTGCCTAAGGAATGGCGATGCCCACAGTGGGCTGGGACCCCCTGTATCAATGAACAGTTAAGATATGCCCACAGACCAACCTGATGAAGACAGTTACTCAACTGAGAATCTCTTTTCCGGTGATTCTAGGCTGCGCCAGGTTGATGGGTAATGCTGACTAGGACAGGTGACAGCTTTCATCTTTCCTTCAGTCTTTTCTTTTTCTTTAAACTCTTTCAGTGGCAGCATCACTTAAGATTCCACTCATCTCTCTAACCAGCCCAACTGGATTCCAGCTGTCTGTTCCTGAATAGGTGACTACCATCTTCAGTGTGGAGTATGAAATCCAAGTGGAGAGTGTGCTGGTCCTGCTTCTTAGATTTGTCTAGTAAAACCTAGTCCAAGGCCCTTCACCGACCAATGAATAAAATACTGAAGTCTGAGAGACATGGGCTGCTATCCACATGAGAATGCTGCGGTAAAGGGTCACATGCTTTGATCTGCTTTCTACGGGCTGGGCTGACTTTAGCCAAGAGCTCCGCTAAGATTCAGTCCAGGTGATGTAGTGGGAGACCTGTGACAAAATCACGCTGAAGGGGCTAGAACCACACTCTAACTGGGAAGTGCCCCACCCAGTCGCCAGCAGACCAAGAAATGAATAAAAGCCCACAATAAATGGGAGCTTTTTATTAAAGATGAATGTAGCATCTATTTCTAGAAGATTCAGAAAATGCCTCTGTTTGTAAGAACAACAAAACAACAACAGTGAAAAATCCAAACTCAAAAAAAAGAAAGAACGAAAAATCCAAACTCACACATACAGACCATCCCTCGGCTGGTGTGGCTGTGGGTGGTTTTCAGCCAGCACGTTTCGTGGGTGATACATGCCTGTCTGAGTTTTTGCTGACAGGCAGCCATTTCTGCTTGCCAGCCATCAATCTCTACAATTTTCAACCCACAGGCTGAGCCCACTGAAATCTGGCGTACAAACCAGAGGAAATAAAAGTCACCTGGAGAAACTGGATTGGCTGCCGTTTTCCTTCAAGGCTCTCGAGCCTTTAAATCTTGATATTGGGTCCAATGGGTCAATAACTGCTATCTTAAAAAGGCACTCCGTGGTTTTAGAGGAGAGCTCATATAAGTCTCCTGAGAAATTAGAGGTGCCGCAGAAGAACCTGGACTCCCTTTCCCAGGGCACAGAGCTCCCCACCTATAGGTGCTCTCTGCCCAGAGCTGCCTCGGTAACCACCTATCACATCAGGATGGCCGCATCCCACCTGCAGCCAGAATTCCACATCCTGGGTGCTTCTGGAGCACTCCATTTTAAAGGTGCCCACCAAGCTCACTTGAATGCATGAAGCATGACGAAAAGGATGGAGTCTGCCTCTAAGGCTGTCACTAGTCGGCAGACGGTCAACCAACTTCTCTGTATGGCAGCAGGGACGGCGGGTGTGGACTCTATGAGCGGGGTTCTTGCCGAGCTCTGACCCCTGGAGGTGAACTATTCTGTCTTCATTTTTGTCACTGAGATAAAATACCTTGACCAAAAGCAACCTTCGGGAGGTGAGGGTCTAGATGGCTTATCCCTCTAGGTTGTATATAATCTATCATTGAGGGGGATGTTGAGGCAGGAACTCAAAGCAGCTAACCGCCTCACATCTGTCTGTAGTCAGATGCAGAAAGAAACAATGCATTCACGCCGCCTGCTTGCTCTCTGGTAGCATTTTCCACTCACACTATTCAGAATCCCAAACCGGGGGATGGTACCTCCCACAATGAGCAGGTCTTTCTACCTCAATTAACAATCAAGATTACCCCACCCTCCACCCCCACCAAGATGCATTCACAGGCTAACTTGATCTAGACAATTCCTCAAATGAGGCTGTTTTCTCAGATGATTCTAGGTTGACAGGTAAATCTAACCAGCCGCCGATCCATATAACCTGATGCCAGCCAGTCAGTTTCAGACTCACAACCTTGTTGGATCTCTGTTGTCTTTTGCTCTCCAAGGAAGGTGAACTAAAACCACAATTTGAACACAGCAACTCAAAAATCCCATTTCCATTTTTCACAATACCACCTTGCACTCGCCTACCTTGTGGACATCTACATATTTAATAGCGTCTCGCTCCGGGTGCCTCCCCGGATCCTGCTCTTCCAAGGTCTTCCCTGCCTGTCTGCAAACAGCAATTCCACCTCTTCAGCGGCTCTGGGGCTCGAACCCTGACCCCTATATCCTCGACTCTGCTCTTTCGCTCACTTCCATACAGCTCCTAGGTAGATCTTGCTGTCTCCACCTTCAAGGTATCCTGAGAACCAGCCCTGGCTTCTCTGCTGCTCCCATCTCACACAAGTCACTCTCCTTTCCTGTCACAGACTCCTAGCTTGGTTCCCTGCTCCCACCTGTGGCTGTGACAATTATTTATTCTTTGTGTGTGCATGCATTTGTGTGTATGAACATGGGCATTCATTGCTGCTGTCCATGCCTAACGGACTCACAAGCTTCCAGGGACCCTCTTGCCTTCAACTCTCTGTATGCATCTTGCCGTGTGAGCATTGAGATTACAGACACGCTTTACCAGGCCTCAGTGTCTCACTTTACCTCTTGGGAATCCGAACTCAAGTCCTCACGTTTGCGAGGCAGGCGCTTTACCCACTGAACCACCCTCCCAGCCTCCTCATTGGGTTTCTTGGATGTAGCATTACAGTTACCACCCAGTTTGGAGAGGTTCACACCATTATTTTCCTTCTCTTTGCCACAGATTCCAATCATACGCCTATTAGATGGCTCAAAATCATCCCAAACTTCATTGAGTTTTCATTTTTCAAAACTTGATGTTTTATTTCGGGCAGTTTGTTTTGCTCTGCCTTCAAGTTCACTCACAATTTCCCCTGCAATAGCTAATCCACCATTAATCTATGCATCTTTCATCTCAGCCACAGCTGGCTTTATTTCTGGATTTTGGGAGCTGGAGGGATGGCTCAGTGGTTAAGAGCACTTGCTGCTCTTACAGAAGATCCAGCTTCGGTTCTCAGAACCCACTTGGCAGCTCACAACCATCTGTAACTGCAGGTTCAGGGGATTTGATGTCCTCTTTTGTATTCTGAGGAATGTGTCACAGTCACATACACACCAAGTGTATATGCATACACACACACACACACACACACACACACACACACACACACACCACTCATACATATAAAATAAAAACCCTGTATTTCTAGAAGTGGAGTCTTTCTATAAACAGAACACAGCTGCAGTGTCCTGCTAATGCCACACCTGTATCAGCGCCAGGTGGTGCTGACCCACGATTGTTACTGTCACAGGTCACCTTCCCTGCTACTTTGCACTCCTACTAATTTTAGGACTGGCTGTCACTGTTCACAGTCGAGTGTCTGTTTGTACGTCTGCACCACTGAGCTTTGCATCGCATTAAGTTACTTGAAAACACTTTTATCTTTCCAACCCACAGTTTCTGATTATTCTCCAGACTGGTCCAGAGGGCTGAAGAATAAAGAAGGGCTGCGAGGTACTACACCCATCTCCTCGTGAAGTGTGAACCCTGAGTTTTCCCAGCCTGAGCGGTGGGGAGAGACAGTTATCAGCCTTCAGTGGAGTCTCTAGTCCTCCTGGGTGATTCTTTTCCCTCTAAGACATATGTTGAACAAGAACCCACTGGCAGACTCTCCACAGACTGCCCCAGCCCTCTCTCTGTGCTCTGGGGATCCACCAGTCTCTGCCCCCCAACCCCCACCACTAGCAATAGAGGCGTGTGCCACCACACCCGGCTTTTATGTGGGTACTGGGGACTTGAACTCAGGTCTTCAGACTTGTGCCGCAAGCACTTTATCCCCTGAGCCATCCCCCCATGACCATTTCATTTCCTTAGCGTGTGTGGTATGACGGTCAGAGGTAACAAGCTCTGCCTTCCTTTTCATTCAGACTCTGCAACCTGTTGGAGTTGGAAAGAGGCTCCAGAGACTCTGGGCTATTACAATAATCCATAAGTTCTTTTGCGGAAATTCAGCACATATCATACATTTTATCATGTTAACACAAAAGGAAAAAGCCAAAAGGGGTAGGGGGCGTGGGAATGTGGTAGACAAAGATTCCATTCACGTCCACTCACTCACTCCTTCCTGACATTCAGTGCTCACCATGGGGCGAGTAGGCCGTGGCTGCCGGCTGCTGTCATCCCCAGTGCGGTTAGCTTTGCACCGGGAAACCGAAAACCCAATGGATGCATCCCAGAGGAGCCCACAGCTCCCACTCACTTCTGTAGCCAAGGCTCCCTTGTGTCTCCCGCCATGGGTCCTGAAGCCTCTGTGTTGGCTCGCCAAGCCAAGGGGCTGGGCTTGGTTCCCCAGGGAGCAGGGAAAGTGGGCCAGCCCACCAGCCAGCCTGTGTTCAAACTCACTGGGCTGGCGGTGCAGAGGGCAGGCCTGCTCGGAGCCAGCGGGTCGCCTCCCACATGCCAGCCCAGCAACCTGGGGCCAAACTGCCGAGCTCCTGCTCTCCGTGGGTGTGTGTCTTCCGGTGCGAGCGAAGGCGCCTGATACACACCAACAGCCCCCTCCATCCTGCCCTTGCCAAAGTTTAGTTTGAAGGGATAAAAGGCAAACAGGAACCCTGCTCCCGCCAGAGAAGTTGTTTAAGCCAAAAGGAACAGAAGGCAGTAGGCTGCCCAAGCGTTCTAATTTACTTATGGGCTCCCACGTTCAAATCGCAGGAGAGCCTCCTCTCTGGGGACAGAGGAGGTCTTCAAGGTAGCTGTCTGCTCGCTGCTGGAAATCCAGCTTCCACACTTGGAGAAGCTGTACAAAGCAGGTGTTAGAAGTACTCAACATTAGCAATCAGGAGGCTGGCAGGGCGGACAGGCTGCTAACTGAGGCGCCGGAGGCCTCCTGAGCCCTCCTGGGCACGGGCCACCCCCACTCCCCCTGCCAAGCTGTGGATACATTTCGGGGCAACATTTCTAATGTGGAAGAAAAAAAAAATACACAAAGTAAGAGTGAAAGCCTGCCGAGACGGCTCAGCAGATGAAGGGGATGGCTGCCAAGCCTGAGTTCGATCCCAGGAACCCACCTGCTGGAACGGGAAAACTGACCCCTGTACGCTGTCCTCTGACCTCAACAGGCATGTTGTGGCATATGTACTCCCACATACATACACATAACATCTTTTTAAAGAAAGGAAAAAAAAAAAAACCGAAAGAAAAGGAAGCCAATCAGGCAGGCACTGTTTCCAACTTTGGACTGTTCAGGTTTTCCTATTCTACAATCATATAAAAACATCTCCTACGCAATCTGTTCCTTCTCACTGTCAGTGCGGCATGTATGAGTTACGAGAGCTGGGCCTGACGAAAAGGGCCGCCATCCCGGCTACGTGGGAGGCTGAGGCAGGAGGACAGATAGCTGAAGGCCCGCACCAGGAGAATAGGGAGAGATGAGCCATTATGTTGTTTCCTAGGAGCTCGTGGCGGTGTAAGGTTGGGGCACTCGGAGTAAGTTTTTTACAGTTACGACAATCAGTGCTCCAGATGTTGGGCATGGGGTTTGGTCTGGTGAGTCTCAGTGTCAGCTCCCCGTTCTGAACCCAGCAACACCAGCGTGGCTGAACAACACTCTCATGTGTCAAGGGAAGATCCTAGGGCATTACCGAAGACCATGAAACAGACAGTAAATCCCACAGGCAGTCGCTCTGGGTCCCTCTTCTGTCCCCTCTGGGCAAGAGACCTCAGTGCAGAATGGGGCACTTGTCCTGGAGGGCAGACTGCCTTCTAAGTGAGGCTTCCCAGCCATGTGGTTTCCTCTTCTACCCTGTGGCTGCGTCAGAGTCGCCTACAGGGCTTCTGGGGGGGGCACTGACAGCTGACGCCCTCCAGGACTTTGATACAGTTAAATTTGAGTGGAGGACTGGGCTGGAGAGATCGCTCAGGGGCTAGAGCGCTTGTTGGGCAAGCCTGGGGACCAGGGTTTGAAGTGCTAGAATCCACATAGAGCCAGACACAGTAGTGAACCATCTCTAATCCCAACGCTTTTTACAGTAAGGAGGGAGGGGGAGAGGAGAGTTCCTTAGGAGCTGGCAGCAGCCAGCCTGCTGTATACAGTGTATACAGGGTGAACAGCAAACGGACCCTGCCTTAAACAAGGCAGAAGGAGGCAAGGACCTACACCAGAGGTTGTCCTCCGACTTCCACATGTGTGTTATGGCAACGTGCCCCCCCCCCTCTCTCTCTCACACACACACACACACACACACACACACACACTCTAGCACGTATAACAAATTCCCAGGTGAACTGATGCCGCTGTTCGGGAAACTCTCTGAGAATTGCTGGCTCCTACCCCCGGCGTGAAGGAAACAGACGGTCAGGCAGCGCCATGCCTGGCCATATCAGCTCCAAATTATAAAGGGTTTGGTAACTGGAGCCCCTGCAGGGGGCTCTGTTCCACAGGAGGCCGGCGGCCCTTCGTGTAACTGAACTCACAACCCAGAGCAATGGGCAAAGCCCTTAGGCAGCAGGAGATGAGAAGTGTGACACTCACTTCAGGTGCCGGATATCGGGGAGAGAGCGATTCAGGGAGATTTTATCACTGACGTAGATGTTAAATCCGTTTTCTCGGTATGCCTGGTCCACTCTCTCGGCATCGGTCATGGGGTAAGGCTTCCCCTGTTCTCCATGTCCTAGGGGGCAGAGAGCAAATTCAGTGTTGCTGGTTTACCTGACAAGGGTTGAGGCTGGGGAGAGAATGACTGGGCGGCAGATAGAGCCTTAGGCGTGAGTCTGGAGAGACGGCTCCGTGGTTAGGAGCACCAGTTGCTCTTGCAGAGAACTCAGATTTCAGTCCTAGCACTCATGTCGTGCCTCACAACCACCTGTAACTCCAGTTCCGGGGATCAGATGTCCTCTTACGGCCTCCATGGGCACTGCACACGTGTGGTGCACGGACTCACACGCCGGCAAAACACTCGCACACGTAAAATAAAATAAATACGTCTGAATTTTGTTCTTGATCTTATACCTGGTCACGGGGCGTATTAGTCACTTCTGCATTACTGTGACCAAGGACCTGAGAAATGCAACTTAATGGGGAAAGGATTTGTTCCAGGGGGTTGTGTCCATCGTCACATGGCTCTGTGCTCCCGTGCCTGTTGTGAACCAGAACGCAGTGGCAGCGGTGTGTGTGTGTGTGTGTGTGTGTGTGTGTGTGTGTGTGTGTGTGTGTGTGTGTACTGCATGGAAAAGGCTCAGGGGACGCAGAAAACAGAGAGAGGGAATACAGGGAGAGGTGCCAGGGTGAGATTCAACCCCAAGGGCACTCTCCCACTGGTCTGTTTTCTTCACAGAGACCCCACCTCCTACTTCTGTCTCCTTCCAGACTGTCACCATATCAGCTTCCTCGTTGGGTCCCAAGCCCTTCTGGGGCTATTCTGTATCTTCACAAGATCCAGGCACACATTCTGGAAGACCCTCTCTTCCAAGGGTTTCTTCAGAAAGTGGGCCGGCCATTCACTGCTCTGACAAGAAGCCAAATCTGCTCCCTCCCTCCGCCATCTGGACACCAGAGACAACCTGACTACAGGCATGCACTGTGGACTACCACTAGATCATACATTAACTAAGCCTGCTTCCATGCTGCGCAAGGAAACCTTTAAGGATAGACACTGCTCTTTGTGAGACTGAAGACTCTCTTCAGGCCCCCCCACTGGACCATCTCCGACAGTAATGCATCTCTTCCCTTGAAGAGCAGTTCATCTTGGTGCCTTTCCCCTGAGCCCATACCCCGTCTTCCTCCCTATAACCTATATTTACCATGTCAGTGCTCCAAAGATCTGCTTGTCTCTGGAGGGGCCCTAACAGACAGACCCAGAGTGAGCTCCATTCATCTTCCAGGCACTTCTCAAGGAAAAAAAAAACTACACAACCATGAATTAAAAGAAAAAGTTTTCTTCTATTTTTTAAAATTATACGGGGGCTAGAGAGATGGATCAGCAGTTAAGAGCACTTTCTCATAGAGGACCTGCATTCAGGTGCCAGCACCCATAGAATGGTTTACAGTCATCCACAAACTCTAGTTCCAGGGGATCTCTCTCTTCTGAACTCCTTAGGCACCAGGCACACCCATGGTAGTACACACACACACACACACACACACACACAGAGAGAGAGAGAGAGAGAGAGAGAGAGAGAGAGAGAGAGAGAGGCAAAACACTCATATACATAAAATGAAATAAATCTAAAAAAATTTTGAAGAGAGAGAGAGAGTGTGTGTGTGTGTGTCTGTGTGTGTGTGTGTGTCTGTGTGTGTGTGTGTGTGTGTGTGTGTCTGTGCTAGTGCCTGTGGAAGCCAGAAGAGGACATCAGATCCCCTGGAGCCGGAGTTACTGGCAGTTGTAAGCTGCCCGACATCTGGAAGAGGATCAAATGCTCTTAACTGAAGATCCATCTCCCCAGCCCTCAACAATCAAGATTAACGTCACCCAAGCATCCCCCCAAATTGTGCAGGGGGAAGTGAGGAGAGGGGGAGGGTACCAGCATTCACTCAGCCGGGGTCCTGTCCTGCACGCCACCCAACCTTTCCCTAGAGTCCCCACAGTCCCCCGGTACAGTGGACTGGAGAGCTCTCACTCTGCTGGTGTACTGAAACTCATCAAAGGTTACAGAACCAGCTGCGAGGGCCGAAGCCCATGCTCCTGTACCCCCTCCAGAGCCAGAACCCCTGCCCACCGAGCCCCCCTCCACAGGAGGCAGGTCTGCCTTCTCTGAGCTGATGAACCCTGGCTCTCTCTGATATCAGCAGCATGTTTGGGGGAGTCAAACGAGAGAGGCCACACAAGTGAACACTTTCTGTAAACTGTAAAGCACCAGATAAACTTGGGGCGATCTGATTGATCCCCATCTAAGCGAGGCAAATGGTCTGTGTAAATCAAAATTGCCATAAACAAGGGGCTAACCTGTAGCTTAGCGGCAGAGAGCTTGCCTAGCACCTCTGGGCTGCTGGGTTGAGGTTGGGTCCTCAGTACGGCTGTATGTAATAATAAATAAGCAAATGACTTTTAGAATGCTACGATGGTAAAAGATGCCTTGATTTCTCTTTGAAGTCGGGAGGTAAATCAAGGGCTGACTTATCTACTCTTTCCAAGGTCTGCTTGGAAAGTTCTACTGCGAGTCACAGATTCAGGGGGACAAACGCTTGGCAGTCTGTGTGCAATGTGGCTGAGAAGGGTCTCCGGCGCTCCGTGAGCGCGTTCTCCGGGGTACCCAAAGGCTTCTGGTGACCGAGAACTGGTACAAGCAGCTCGAGGGTCTGCATTGCTGAGTATCCAAGAGTCAGTCACAGCAGCTTAAGGCCAACTGCCCTCTGGGTGTCACATGACCGAGGACACTGCTGCTGTGGCAGAAAGAGGCCTGAACTCACACTTGGAGCAAGGCACCAGGAGATCCACATGGGGGCGGGGCGGGGGGTGGGGCCACACACGATCAGGCCCCGAGGTGGAGCAGAGGAGAGGGAGCCAAGGCCACCCAGCTGGACCCCAGCACAGCATCCTGGCAAGGCCTCAGTTTCTGTCTTCTCATCAGAGAAGGTCCACTGTGACGGCTGAGGAGGACACTCGGGGTGGAACTCCTCAGTCTCATCATTCGCTTTTTCTTTCTCATAATTAGGCAATTATAAATTATTTTTTTTTAAATATTTACTCTTTCATACTTATGTATAATTTTATTTCAACAATCGAGGAAGTAAACAGTCATTTATTTTTCTTAATTTCCCTGCTGTTCTTTTTTCCCCTTGCTAGCCAGCCCGGTATTCTAATAATTCAGGCACAATTGTCTGGCCAGCTGGCTCTTTGCAGATGTTTCCTTTCTTAATTTAACAAGTATCCTTCTCCATTCATCTAACATTCCTGGCACACAGAGCAGAGTGCTGGGTGTCGGGACTGGGGATGCCCTGGGCACCGGCTCAGTTATTAACACCCGTTTTCTTCCGAGCTGTGCAGTGAGTTGGTTTTGCCATAAATAATTTAGAAGGGACACCTTTAACCCAGGTCACCACACACCATGTCAGTCCCTCGGGCTGCTGTATCCACTTTCCACTCAGGCAAAGGCGACCTCATATCATCATCACCTCACTCCACACCCTCACAACAGCCTTCTGGGGTGGCCCGAGCAGACTGCGCGTGCTCACCCACAGATGGGGAGGACCCATAGATGGGGAGGACGGGGGCTCCGGAAGGGTGGATTTCATCGGTGGCCCCTTATGCTGGCGGCTGGCGCTGGGGCTGCTCTCCTGACCTCTGCCCGCCCTCTGCAGAGAAGAATCTCCACACAGTCTCTGCACCTCCGTATGGCGGCCCTTCCCCTACCGACCAGCCTCACAAGACAGGTGACAAAGCCCTACTGGCAGCAGGAAACTGGAGCTGTGAAGCCCAAGCAGCCAACTCTGGAGCTGGTGAGGTGCTGGCTCTGCCTTCCGGACCCGGGTTCAAGTCCCAGGTCGGCCTTGCTCTCCCCGTGTGACGGCTGGCAGGTGACACCGTATCTCCGAGGTACAGGTCCCCTCTTATTCAGTGGCATAAAAAAGGCTGGTCAGGTTGCTGGGGGTGGGACCTGCTCTGGGTTCAGCCTGCGTCACCTCGAATCAGCGCTACTTACTTTAGCGTGGGACCTGCGAGAGGCATGGTCACGTGCTAATACCAAGGTGGCGGGGCAAACCCGAGGACAGCGGTTCTGGTGCTGAGAGGAGAGGTCCGAACAGGTGAAAGGTGGGTGCAGGAAATAGGGAGGGCGGTGGCAGGCAGGAAGTGAACAAGAGGTCCAGATGCCCCTCACACACACACACACACACAACTCGCGCACACGCGCGCGCGCACACACACACCCGCAGCTGCACACGCATGCACGCCATGCCCACACTCAGCCCTCCCCTCCATACCTACTCGCTGTGCGTCCCTCCTGATGGCCTCCTTGTCATGCCAGTCCTTCAGCTTTTCTTTATCCTCCAAGAAAAACGGCTTCTTTGGTCGACCGTGTAAATCCTTTTAAAAAAAAGAAAGGAAAAAGAAAATAAAGAGAAGAAACCTCGAAAAGGAAACATGGGCAGCCACAAAGGTCCAGTCGCTACAGCGCCTGAAGGGAGCACTACCACCTGTCGGGTCCTCCCAGCATCCTTCGGAGTGCCTGCCATGGGACCCCTGGGTGGGCAGAAGCCAGAGGGGCACAGAAGCTCAGCGCCACCCGCCCGCTGGGAACGCGCTGCCCAGGGGAGGAAGAAAAGACAGGCTTATCTTTTCATCGGTGGGAGAAGGTGCCAAGTGTGGTGCTGCCCAGCAGAAAGGACTTGTGGAGCAGACACGGAAAGCCGGTTGCTTTCCACACTGAAGAGGGAAAACGAGGCTGGGTGTGGCGGTACACCCCTGTAATCCTGGGAGGCAGAGGCAGGAAGGCCGTGAGTTCTAGGCTAGCTTGGCATATACTGTGAGACACTGTCACACAACAAGACAACACAACAACACAACACAACACAAAAGTAGAGGCTAAGGGGTGTAGTTCAACGGTGGAGTGCTAGCTTAGCATTCACGAGGGTTCAGCCCTCGGCACCCCAAAGGAACGAACAAATGCATGAGCTTAGATTTAGTAACGTACTTTTTTTAAAAGATGTATTTAATTTTTAATTATGTGTTTATGTGTCTGTCCGTGTGTGGGCATGTCTGTGGGAGGCCAGAAGAGGGCATCAGATCCCCTGGAGCTGGAGTTAGCAGCGGTTGTGAGCTGCTAGCCTGTAAGTGTTAGGAACTGAATGTAGGTCCTCTGCAAGACCAGCGCACACGCTTATCTGCTAAGCCACCTCGCCAGGCCCAATATAGATAACTGAATCCAATTCACTTTATCTAAAACATTAGCATTTCAACATGCAATCAATGTAAAATGTAATTATTTATTTATTTTGTGCCCCCCACCAAGACAGGGTTTCTCTGTGTAGCCCTGGCTGTCCTTTCTCACTCTGAAGACCAGGCTGGCCTCAAACTCACAGAGCTCTACTTGCCTCTGCTTCCCTGGTGCTGGGATTAAAGGCCTGGGCCACCACCGACTGGTGGTATTTTACTCTTTTTTGGATTAAGTCTTTGAAATCTTTGGCTTAAGTAAATTCAAACTCCTTTCTGGTGCTCTGGAACTGCAGGTGGCCGGCTAATGGCTACACACCCAGGGCAGAGTTTCAGGAGTGAGTGTTAGGCCAGGAGGTGGGGACAGGATGATAGACTCCTGCTTTTACAAGAGTCCTGGGAATTCACAATCAGGTCGTCACACTTGCAATAGCAAGTGCTTTACCCACTAAGCCACCTTCTAGCTCCAAACACACAACACTCAAGTAACGCTGATCATGTAATATTATGTAAAAGATCATTCCAAGACTTTCAATCCAGAGGTACTTGAATGTTTTTGTAACACCCAGAGGTTGTGTTTCTGAAGGTTGAGGTCTTTTTTTTTTTGGTTTGCAATCATCTTCTGATACTTTTCCTTCCCCTGGCTTCCAGAATGCCCCCTTGCCACAAGAGATGAAGACAAAGGGAAGGGGCGCAGTGAGGATGTAAGTGAGCTGGGGAGGCTGGCAGAATGTCTGGAAATCCCTTTAGACAGCAAATGCATGTGGGCGTGCTTGGAGTGACTGCGTCTGGAACCTGTGTGCTCTGAGTCAACATTCCAAAGGAATCGATCATGGTCCCCACTGCCACTCACTCACTCATCCAAATGGAATTTTAATCTTTGTTTTAATCATCAGTTAGCGCGTCTGGCACCCTCTGAAGAGAGTGAGAACAGTGAAACAAAGCCAACGGCATTCTGATGGAGGAGAAAGATGGGTCAGAGCACACACTCCAATCCCAAGACTGAAGACTTGGCAGCGCCTGCCAGCGAGGGTGATGAACCTCAGGCCCAGCTGGCCAGGGTCCTCAAAACCACAGGAGGGCTGAGAAGGAAACGGAGTGGGCCTGGGCTTCAGCCAGGTCTCAGGATAGATTAGGGGAGACTTTACTGCAGACGTTGGGGTGATTCTCTAGCCTCCCAACCCATCCTTCAGATTTTGCTTTAGGATCACACGCACTCACGGATGCCACACATGAAGTAGATTATTCTAATAGCCCTTGCGGGTAGTTTGAATGTAAACTGGTCCCCATGAGCTCAGGGAGTGGTATTATTAGGAGGTGTGGCTTTGTTGGAGGAAGTGTGTCTCTTGGGGGGGGGGGCGGCGAGCTTTGAGGTCTCATAGATGCTCAAGCCACGCCTAGCGTTGCAGACCACTTCCTGTTGCCTGCTGGTTAAGATGTAAGACCCTCAGCTCCTTCTCCAGCACCATGTCTGCCTGCATGCCACCATGTCGCACCATGATAATGATGGACTGAACCTCTGAAGATGTAAGCCACCCCAATTAAATGCTTTTCCTTTATAAGAGTTGCCATGGTCATGGTGCCTCTTCACAGCAACAGAAACCTTAACTAAGACAGCCCTCTTGTGTGTATGCCATGACACACAGTCATAGATACAGCCAGCCAGCCAGACACACACACACACACACACACACACACACACACACACACACACACAGGATCAGGTAGAACTTATTTAGCCAAATGCACAGAGTTGATTTATACAGGGTGTGGTGGTTACAAGGAGAATGGCCTCCATAGGCTCATATGCTTGAATGCTTGGTCCCCATTTAGTGAACTCTCTGGGAGGTGTGGCCTTGTTGGAGTAGGCGTAGCTTTGTGGGAGGAGGTGTGTCACTGGGGTGGGCTCTGGGGTTTCAAAACCCCATGTCAGGCCCAGCGTCTCTCTGCCTGCAGATCGGGATGTAAAGCTTTTAGCTAGAGCTCCAATGCCACGCTGGTCTGTTTCCCACCATGATGATCGTGGACTGACCCTCTGAAACCATTAGCAAGCCCCCAGATAAGTGCTTTCTTTTGTAAGAGTTGCTGTGGTCATGGTACCTCTTCATGGCAACAGAAGACCCAGGAGACACTCCTTTGGGAATGTCTGAGAGGCGCTGCCAGAGAGGTTTAACGGAGGAAGGAGAGCACACCCTGATAGGATGGTGCCACCCCTGCGGTTTAGGGTCCCAGACTGGGTACAAAGGAGAATGAACTGCATGCACACCAGCGTTCATCTCTCTCTGCTTCCTGGCTGCGGACCCCATGCTTTCACACTCACTCAGCTCCTGCCGCCGTGCCATCCCCGACATGATGGACTCTAACCTTTCTTAAACCACTAATTAATACAAACCCTCCCTGGAGATATGGTTCAGTGGCTGCCCTTTCAAAGGACCTGGTTTCTGTTCCCAGAACCCACAGGGCAGCTCCCAACCACCTGTGACTCCGGTTCCACGGAATCTGACGCCCTCTTCTGGCTGCCACAGGAGCTAGACATGTACATGATACGCTGACTACATGCAGACAAACACCCCCACACATCAAAAAACAAAACCGCATCTTCCTTCTGTAAGCTGCTTCTGGTGATGTATATTGTCATAGCAATGAGAAAAGTAGTTACACATATAGATAAATAAGACAGTTTACGGGCTCAACAAACAGGATTGTATAAGAAAAAACGCACATCACTCTAAGTGTATTGCCTTAAAGGACACAGATAAAATCTATAGATATTTAGAAGAATAAAGAATTAGTGTTCGGCCCAAGTGACTGGGGAAGGATTCCTACAGAGGAGACTTTGGGAGGGGTGTGGAAAGATGGAGAGGGACCTGCCTGGGAGCAATGTAGGTGGAATCCAACTGGAGGGGATGCATGAACCAAGGAATGGAGGCTTGAAGGTGACAGACAGATTTATTTAAGGGCAAAAGCCCAACCTGGTGGGAATGAATAAGGTTCAAATGGCAGACATGAGCCACACAGTAGGAGAAAGTCTGGACCAGGGCTCCTTGGCAGGTGGGAACAACAGTCAATGAGCAAGGAGCGAGCCAGAGCTGAGGTCAGGAATAAAGTGTCGAAACCCACATACTTTGATCAGTCTCCTCCCTCTCCTCCCATGAGAGACACCCAGATGGAGACGACTTTGTTTTCACCTAGAGGAAAAGTTTCCTTTTTCAAACTGAGAATCGCTCTTATTCTAGCCCTCACAAGTAAGATTCAAGTGAGGTTGACTACCTCAGACCATCTGACCTGGAGAAAATGTGTTTTGTTTTGTTTTTATTTTAACCAGAACCAAGTGGTGTAAGAAGGCAACTGAACCTCACCAGTACCATCCCCCATAGAGTTTCGGAATCAAGTACTGAGTGGGAGCTGAGATGCCATCTCCTGGACACCCTTGGCATCCCCCTGGTCCAGGAGGAAAGCCTCAGGCAAGCTGCCCTGGTATTCCAGAGCATCCTCAGAGTTTCACATTTCATGTTCCTTTGGGCATTCATCCGAGACTCATCTGATGACATGTCTGTCTCCCCAAAATGTGAGCTCCAAAAAAGCAGGTCTATTTTTCACTGGGAATGAAGGAGCAGATATGCCTTTGTTTTATTTTTTTCGGGGTGCAGGGAAGGTCATGTAGGGATTAGACGTGCCTAACATAGTCACAAGGATTTAATGCTGTAAAGGGCTCTGAGGATTAACTTTGTCCTCTGATTAAATGGCCTCAGGTCAGTTTAAATGGGCTGCACAACTCTAAAGACAGAGGGCTCACCTCACCAGAAGGTGATTTCTAGAAGATGCCATGGGCTTTGAACTCCTGCCTCCTTCATTGCCAGTCAGCTTCCTGTCTGTATCCTAACCCTCACGGCTCGTGGCGGAGGTTCTGTCTGTCTTTCCTCTGGGGCTGCTTTCATTTTCATATAGAAGTACCAGACATTTTAGCTCTCACACTCATACACACACACACACACACACACACACACACACACACATACACACACATACACACACATACACACACAGAGAGTTCCTTCCAGGCTTTTCAGGGAGAGAAAAATGCCTATCTTGCTTGAGTCATTCAAATCTGGTCTTAACTGAGACGCGTATCTTCTGTTAGGAAGTGCCTGTTG